CAGCAACTGTATGCGGCATGACACCAACAGCATGCGGCATGGAAGCAACAGCATGCGGCATGGCAGCAACAGCATGCGGCATGGCAGAAACAGCATGCGGCATGGCAGCAACGGCATGCGGCATGGCAGCAACAGTATGCGGCATGGCAGCAACAGCATGCGGCATGGCAGCAAGAGCATGCAGCATGGCAGCAAAAGCATGCGGCTGTTGGTGCAACCATATGGCTTGCACTCGGCTTGTCGTCCTTGTTTGTGTGTGTGCATGCATGGCATGGAATGAATTGTGAGTCTATGTCATTGCTATCCAGTGCTTGTGTGTGTGTTTGAATGGTGTATCACAATGTGGTTTGTGTCGGTCAAGACATTAGCGAGTTTTTACAACTCGCATGTCAAGTCGTCGTTTGTGTGTCGCATGTGTTTTCTCTATTTTGTCGAGTGTGAAGTGTCCATCGTGTCGCAGGTGTGTGCAGCAAGCCCCCATCAACTCAAGAAGAATTTATCTTGCAGATCCAAGAACAAGAGCTCAAGATTTCAAGCCCAAGGGACGCAGATAAATATTAAATAGTGAAAATAGTAACGTTACTTCGTGTAGTGTTACATTTCACTTGGTGTAGCCCCTTGGAGGGTTGGTTTCGAGACTCTTCATGGTTGGGGACTCTGTGGTGGTGTACCACCAACCTGGACCTCGGCTCTTGGGGTATGTAGAGGCTGGGAACCATCTCCCTCTCGAACTCTTCTTGCTAAGTTTGTACTCCTAAGACTATAGTGGCTGCTTTACCTCCTGCCAGTCAAACCGCCATAGTGTCGTCAAATCTTCATGGAATTTCATGATTCAACTTGCTGCTGCTAGACGACAGCAACACGCTCCAGATCCAAGTTACAGATCACCGTTTTACTCAGTGACCAGATCGTTATCAGTATTTGAAGCCGTCTGACGGAAATCCGACTGTGCTCTCTATCTCTCATTATAGGCACATCTAAGCCTATTGTGATTATAACAAGTGGTATCAGAGCCCCTTGGAGCCGTCTCGACCATGCCTAGACCTGAGGAAGGGGGTGGCAGAGGTGCTGGAGGCAGAGAAGACGCCCAAGCACAAGGTCAACACCAAGATCCACCCGTTGCTCCGGTGCAACCTAGCCTTGGACCCTCTAGGGATGAGCCTAGAGTGTTTGGCCTTGACAAGTTCAACGGTGACAACTTTGCTGAGTGGTCCTTCAAGATGGAGAACATCTTTGACCATTATGATCTGCTGGAGGTGATGGAAGGAGCGGAGAAGCGCCCCGAGAACGACCCGGAGAAGAGCCCGTGGGTGCGGAAGAGCGCACAAGGCTACCTTCTACTTGGGCAAGCGTTGGGGAGCAGCCAAATCCGTCACATCAAGCCTTTTCAGCGTGAACCAGCAAAGGGACCAAAGGCATGGGCTGCTCTCAAGGGTGTACACGCTCCTGCAACAGCGGCGGTGGCTGTGGTTTTGGAGCGGCAAATGGCGGCACTTCGAATTGACGAAGGCGAATCGGTGGAGGAAGGAGTGCAGAAATTCTTCGACTTGTTGACATGGCTCGAAGGAGCTGATCTGAACTACAGTGACCTTCAAAAGAAGACCAAGCTGCTGGCCTTACTTCCAGACTCATGGTCCTCGCTCATCATCAACCTAAATCGAGATCTGCCCCGTCTCTCACTCGAAGATGTGAAGCGGGAAATCTTACAAGAAGATTTCCGCCGTCGCGAATTGGCGGGTCCCGATGGTGCCGGAGTTGCAAGCATAGGCCGTGGTGGCCGTGGTGGCCGTGGAGGCGAAGCGGCAAGCATGAAAGGTGGAGACTACGACAAGGACTCGAGTGAAAATCGATACCCGGACCAATTCTTCTTTGTCTCCACGCAAGCGGCAGCTGCAGCAGGAGGTGTGGAAGGCTTTGAGGAGCCAGCTACTGTGGGAAAGGTCACCCTTCACTTGCTGGACTTTTGGGTGATCGATAGCGGCGCCACCTATAGCATGACACCTCGTGCGGACTTGCTCACCGAACTTGAACCGTCGCTGGTCAAGCATGTTACATCGGCTTTGGGGCAGCGAGCAGAGGTGAAAGGCATGGGCAAGGCCATGTTCAAGGGTGCTGATGGGAAGATGGTGGGCCTCAAGAACGTGCTTTGGGTGCCCAACCTAGCAGCCAACCTGATCTCTGTTCGGCGTTTGCAATAGGCCGGCATGGACACATCTTCCAAGGGTTCCAAAACCTATACCGCGAGGCTTGGTGAGCGGAAGCTTTGGGACCTTCATGAGGACAGGGACATCTACAATGAGATGTGGCAAATCCCAGTGGTCCCCATGCCTAAGGGGAGGCAAGTGGCAGCAAGCGTCAGCACCAAGAGTGAAGCGGTTGGTGGCGGTGATCACAGAAAACAAGGTGACACCAAGAGTGACTCGAAGGAGTGCAACCTTGGAGAGACCAGCAAGGCGTGTGAACCCAAGGAGAATGGTGCAGCAGCCAAAGGTGGTGGAAATGAGGAGGATAAGCCTAAGATCAGCAAAGCAGCAGCGGCAAAGGAGAAAGGAGAGAGCTTGTGGGGCACAATTGCGAGTGCCGCTTTCTCCAACCCGACTTCCGCTACGGGAGAGTGTGATTGGCTGACCTTGCATCGGCGAATGGGGCATGTGGCATTGCCCATTTTGCAGCAGATAGTTAAGCAAGAGATGGTCAGTGGGATTCGTGTCAAAGGGGAGCCCAATGAGGTGCTTGGCTGTCCAACATGCATGCAAGCCAAGTTCACCCGCTACCCGTTCCATAGCTCGGAGACAACGGCGAAGGCACCACTTGATGAGGTGGTGATGGATGTGGTGGGCCCCTTGAAGCTTGGAGCTGCTGGAGCAGAGTACTTCCTCACCATTGTGGACGTCTACACTCGCATGACCTGGGTGTATGTGCTGCCCAAGAAGAGTGACGTAGCTGAAACGGTGAAGACCGATTGGTTGCCGATGGTGGAGCGGCAACAAGACCGACTTGTGAAGGCAATTCGCACTGACCGTAGGGGAGAGTTCCTGAGCAAGGATTTCTCAACTTGGCTGAAGAAGCAGGGCATAAGGCACTCTCTTACCATGCCCTACTCTCCTGCAATGAACGGCATCGCCGAGCGTGCGAATCGGACACTCACGGAGACGGCTCGGGGACTTCTCATTGAAGCCGGTCTACCCAATTACTTTTGGCCGGATGCGGTGCGTCATGCTTGTGTGGCCAAGAACAGAGTCTTGACTCACGTGGGAGAAGACAAATGGGTGCCCTATGTGGAGTGGATTGGAAGGAAGCCGAAGGTGGATATGCTTCGGGTGTTCGGGTGCATGTGCATGGCACTTGTGCCTAAGAAACTTCGGCACAACAAGCTTGATGCCAAGGCAACATGGGCCGTGCACCTGGGCATGGCTCAAAACAGCAAGGGATGGCTTCTTTGGGACCCATTTACCAAGAAGTTTTTGGTGAGCAGAGATTGCAAGTTCATGGAGAACTTACCGTACAAGGAGTGGAAGGCGGAGAACCAAGCAAAGATTGGTGTGCGGCTTGGAGAGGTGAAGAGTACCGGCTTGGAGCATGTGGAGCTGCCCTTGGAGCTGAGTAGCAGCAGCACAGTCACGAGGCAATCTCCTCAAATAAATGGGGATGAGGAGGAGGAGGAGGTGCAGCAAGGTGATGAGCGTGCACCGTCACTTCCGCCTCGTGCTACAAGTGCTCGCGGGAACCGACCGGATTTACCGCAACGCCATGAGAGCATTCAAGTCCCTGCAGCAGAGGAGGAAGGAAGGGGGAGAAGAAGGACTCAGCCCCCCAATAGGTTGAGCTATGACCGGCTTGGAGGACCAGCCAACTCAACCTTGACCGGTTCGGCTCTCATGCTAGGCGATGATGCGGAAGATGAAAGCGAGGAGTGCGCCTTTGCCTTCTTCTCTCCGGTGGAGATGCCGGGGGAGCCTACAAATCCCAAGGAAGCTTGGGAGGGCCCCAATGGGAAGGAGTGGAAGAAGGCCTCAGATGAAGATATGGGGAGCATCATAGAGAACGACACATTTGACTTGGTGAATCTACCTCCGGGACGGAAAGCGATCTCTTCCAAGTGGCTCTTCAAGCGCAAGTCCGACGCCGACGGCAACATCGAGCGCTACAAGAGCAGACTTGTAGCCAAGGGGTATCAGCAGCAAGAGAAGAAGGACTACAATGAAGTGTATGCCCCTGTGGTGAAGGGTACAACCCTTCGAACCCTCTTCGCCGCGGCGGCCATCAAAGGATGGGTGGTGAAGCAAATGGATATTGTAACGGCCTTCCTTAACGGCGTTTTGGAGGAAGAGACCTACATGGAGCAGTCAGAGGGGTACAATGATGGGAGTGGCAGAGTGTGGAAGCTGAAGAAAGCACTCTATGGCCTCAAGCAAGCCCCTAGACAATGGTACATCAAGCTGCGGGAAGTCTTGGAGGTGATCGGCTTCACTCCCTCAACGGCCGATCAATCCTTGTTCATGCTTGGCGAGGGGGAGCAGAGGAGCTTCATGGTGGTTTATGTGGATGACATCCTCATATTCTCACCCTCCTCTGACCTTGTGAAGGAGGTGATGCTGAAGCTTCAAGACAAGTTCAAGTGCAAGACCCTTGGTGACGTCAACTACTACCTTGGGCTTCACATTGAGCGAGATGTAGAGAAGCGGTGGATGCGAGTGCATCAAAAGAAGTACTTGGAGACCTTGGCTGCAGGCTTTGGGAAGAGTGAAGGTCATGTGTGATAAATGTGTAGTGTTCTGTGGTGTGATTTGCTCTAGCTGGCTGTGGGCTATTGGGATTTGGGCAAAAGAATTGGGTTGGTTGGCTAGGTTTGATCTCGTTACCTTTCCAACCCATACTACCCCATACCCACTACAGCATCTTTGATGTTGCAGCTGTGGCACTTGGGAGTGTTAGGGTTTGGTTCAGGGCGAGGGTTGGTGTTGTTTGACAATCAAATACTCCAACATTTCCAGATCGAACTGCTTCCCTTCTCGTTTTTACTAGGTGATTCATGGCTGCCTAGCCAAATTACCAGAATACCCCCTCACACTGATTTCGTCATAATCGGCGGCTCAGATCTTGTTTATGAACGTGCTTTACTATTCTGGAAAGTAGAGATTAAGACCTTTCCAACGCGTATAAGCTCATTTCTAGAAGTTACCTGAGCAGCACGCAATGATTCGTTGAGGTCGTCAGACTTAATCTCTAATTAGTTCTCTCCAGATTTGCACGATTTCCATCTGTGGTATCAGAGCCACGGTTAGAGGACGTTCTTTCCTCCATTGGAAGAGATCTAGGGAGGCTTGAAGTGCTCCAGATCTAGGGTTTGACATGGCCCAAAAGTTGGATGGCCCTCCTAGGTTTACCGGCTCGGACTTTTCGCTATGGAGGTTCCAGTTCACACTATGGCTAGGTATTAAGGACCTAGAAAGTGTGTTGGATGGATCGGAGAAGCGACCACGAGCTGACTCTGGGGAGGCGTCTACTGGAGCAACCAGCCAAGTGGGATCCGGGGCTGGGGGAGCGTCGTTGAGTGGGGTGAAGGAAGGAGGAACTGCTGCAACCCAAACCGGAAGGTCGCAACCAAGTAGCGAGGAGTTGCTCAAAGCTCAAGAAGCATGGGATCGGAAGGATCGCCAGGCTTTTCAGTACCTGTGTTGGGCTTTGGAGGGGCAACTTGAGCTTCTTAAGATGCTGATTGACCTGAAGGGGAAGGAAGGTGCAGCGGCTGCAGCTTGGAAAAGAGTACAATATAGGCACTTGCAGAAAGGGCTTCTAAGCGTGCTTACTTGGCGGAAGCGGTTTTACACCATGGAGCGGAACTATGGGGAGGGGGAGACCATGGTTCAGTATCTCCAGAGGGTGGATGAGAATGTGCGGGCTTTGGAGGAGCTGGATTACACGGTAGATGAGAAGGAGATCATCTATACTGCGCTCCAAGGGTTGGATCAAGCGGCTAATGAGGCATTACTACAGTACCTTCACCTCGAGCAACAGAAATGGACAAAGGTGTGGATTTGGGAGGTTATAATTTCAGATGAGGCTCGCAAGGTTCATGCTGGAAGAGGTCTAGAAGGAGGCATGGGTGCAGCAGATAAAGCTTCCTTCAGGAAAGGCTATCAACAGCAAGGAGGTGGGGGGAAGAAGAAAGAGTTGGACAAATGCCTTGTGCCCGGATGCAACAAAAAACACTCTTGGAGGAGTTGCTGGAGTAGGCCTGAGGGATGGAAGCCTCACGGCTACTCTGGAGAGGCCCCACCAGTGACCAAACCTGATTGGGTGGAGAAAAGGATGAAGAAGGGGGTCTGGAATAAGAAGGGCAGCAAGGGAGCAACGGCCGCAGCTGCTAAGGATGAGAAGGGGAAGGGCCAAGACGACTCCTCCGATGATGGTTTCTCGTTTCTCATGCTAGGGCAGGATGCAGCTCTCGCTGGTCGTGCATTGGCTGATCCCAACTTCCTGGTTCTAGACTCTGGAGCAACATCTGGGATGCTTCCTCGCCGTGATCTCTTCACCTCCTACCATCCTCTCCGACCAAATTCGAGGAACGTGATTGTTGGGAGCGGAGATTTGCTGCAAGCAATTGGCATCGGCACGATCACCATTAAGGGGAAGGAGGGGGAGCTAGTGGGTGTGAAGGGGGTCCTTCACGTCCCTGGTTTGGCTGCAAACCTCCTTTCATGCTCGCAGCTGGCTAAACAGGGATACATCTGCACTTTCACGGAGGGAGGGTGTACTGTTAGAAAGGGTGAAGCTGTGGTGATGGAGGCAAAGCTGGACAAGGGTTTATACCTTGTTTCAGCTTGTGTGCCTAATTGTTACAAGGCACATATGGTTTTTTCTGAGGAAGCCGCTTGTAGCACTCGCTGGAGGCAAGTGGAAACGGTGTCACCTGAGTTGCTACACCTTCGCATGGGGCACGCGGGGAAGCAGCAACTGCTGGAGTGTGTGAAGAAGGGGGAGCTGAAGGGGGTGGAGGTCAAGGAAGGAGCTGGGCAGCAGAGCAAATGTCCCGACTGCACGTCTGGAAAGCTGCCAAGAACCTCATTCCCTATCTCCTCTGATCATGCCTCGACTCCCCTTGAGCTGGTGCACACGGATGTGTGTGGACCGATGCAAACTCCTGACCGGGAAAGGGGCAGCAGGTACTTTGTCACCTTTCTTGATGACTTCAGTCGACTTAGCTGGGTCACCTTGGTGAAGACCAAGGATGAGGTGGCAAAGGTGTTTAAGCGGTGGATACGCTATGTGGAGAGGGAATCAGGGGCCAAGGTAAAGGTGTTAAGGTCAGATCGGGGTGGAGAGTACCTTGGGAAAGAACTTCAAACCTTCTTGGAAGAAAAGGGTATTACCCACCAGCTCTCTGTACCTTACACGCCGCAGCAAAATGGGGCAGCGGAGCGGCTTAACAGGACCTTGACCGATTTGGCTCGGGCCATCCTTTCCCATGCCGAGCTTGATAACACTTGGTGGGGGGCAGCAGTGCAGTATGCCAACTGGGTGAAGAACAGGATGGGCAGCAAGGGGCTTGGAGGCAAGAGCCCATACTCCTTATGGACAGGGAAGGTGCCGAATGTTTCCATGGCACGAGTGTGGGGGTGCATGGCACAGTATAAGGTACCTGACCAGCAAAGAAGGAAGCTAGATCCTAAGGCACAGTGGGGGATCTTCCTTGGGGTTTCTGAGAGGAGCAAGGCTTGGGTGCTGTGGAGTGTAGCTGACCAGCGTGTGATGGAGAGCCGTGATGTGGTTTTCCATGAGGGGCTGAATTTGAAGGGGTGGAAGGAGCATGGTACAAGCCAAAGTGGGACTTCCATTCAAGACCCTCATACGGCTTCTATCTTTGAGGGGGCATGGGAGGACCCTGGAGATGAAGGGGAGGAGCAGCAGGAGGAGCCAGAACCAGCTGATCCTAACCACGAGGAGTCCCGAGAGACAGATTCTACCCCTCAGCCAGCCACGCAGGCCGATGCGCGTGATGATCAGCCGGAGCAGCATGTGCCTTCAACTCCATCGAGAAGCAGTTGGCAGCAGTTGTTGAACCAGCAGCTGTCCAAGACTCCAAGGACTCCAATGAAGAGGGTGACTTGGGAGGAGAAGCTGCGGAGGCTGGAAGAAGGAGAGGCAACACCTCTGCGACGCAGTGCTCGAATTTCCCAGCCACCTGAAAGGTTTTCACCGGGGCACATTGCACGCATGCATGATCATCTTGTGTCTGATTTGGATGATTGCATGCTTGTGGACATGCATGGGCATGAGTATGCTCTTGATGTGTGTCTAATGGGTCAGGTGCATGAGCCTAGGTCAGTCCATGAGGCGCTGAACCGTCCCGAATGGGTTGAGTCTATGCATGAGGAGCTTGAGTCTCACAAGGTAAATGGATCATTTGAGCTGGTTGATCCAGCCGTGGTACCACCTGGTTTGGAGGTCCTCAGGTGTCAATGGGTTTGGAAATACAAGCATAACCCTGATGGTACCATTGAGAGGCCTAAGTCCAGATTGGTGGTGATGGGAAACACGCAGAAATTGGGAGTACACTATGAAGAAGTGTACTCTCCAGTTGGGAAGCATGCGACCTTGAGAGGTATGCTTGGAATTTCAGCTGCTTTGGGGCTTGATATCCATCATATGGATGTCAAGACAGCCTTCCTCCATGGGGATTTGGAGGAAGAGCTTTACATGCGGCAGCCCCCTGGTTTTGATGATGGGTCTCACCGAGTGTGTCGCCTCAAAAAGTCCATTTATGGGCTAAAGCAAGCCCCACGACAGTGGTACCTAAAATTTGATGAGGCTCTCATGGATTTTGGGTTTGAGAGATCTGAGTGTGACCCTGCCTTGTACCACTTTGTGAGAGATGAGGAGCGGATCTCCTTATTCCTCTATGTGGATGACCTTTTGCTCCTATGCTCTAGCAAGACTTTGCTAGATCGAGTGAAAGAGTTCTTGTCCTCGCGTTTTCGCATGAAGGACTTGGGGGAGGTGAAGTACTACTTGGGAATGCAAATTGAACGTGATGAGAGTGGTATCTTGATTCATCAAGAGAGGTACATTCTTAACATGCTTCAGTCCTTTGGTCTCTCAGAGGCCAACCCCGTGCGTACTCCTCTCCCAACAGGCTTTGATGTGCATGCCTATGAGGATGAACCCTTGCTGCGAGATGAGCTGGTCAAGCTCTACCAAAGCATTGTGGGATCCCTCATGTATGCTTGTACTACCACACAGCCACAGATTGCCTTTGCAGTCTCACAGCTATCTAAGGTCGCCTCTTGTCCTAAAATGTTTCACTTGCAGGCCGCTAAGAGAGTGCTGAGGTACCTGAAAGGTGGTGTCAAGTCAGGTATCTTCTTCCAAACACAGCCCCAGTCTCAGGTCCAGCTAGTTGGCTTCAGTGATGCTGACTATGCTGGAGATTCCGCAAGTCGCAGGAGCCACAGTGGGTATGTGTTCTGTCTGAATGGGGCAGCTATCTCTTGGCAGAGCAAGAGGCAGCCCGTGGTAGCACTCTCTACCACTGAGAGTGAGTATATAAGTCTGTGTCAGTGCATTCAGGAGGGTGTCTGGCTGAGGCGTTTGTTTGGGGAGTTTGGCCATGATCATGCTGGTGGTGTGCCTGCGTTTGTGGATAATCAGTCTGCCATTGCCCTTGCACATAATGCATGCTTGCATGGCCGCACCAAACACATGCAGGTCCGGTGGCATTTCATTCGGGAGATGGTAGCTGCGGGTGAGGTGATTTTGTAGTGGTGCCCTACCAACCGTCAGGCTGCTGATATTCTTACCAAGTCTCTTCCATTTGAGCGTCATGGTGTGTGCATGACCTTGCTCGGGATGCAGCCCCATGATGACAGAGTTCCCGCAGCAGATGCCGGCGTCTTGGTGCTCCTCTCCTTGGCGGACTCCATGCTCTGGGTGGCCCCAACCCATGGGCAAGGGGGAGTGGTGTGAAGGCATTTGCCCTATGGTGTTGCGCCACACCCAGCACGAGCAAGGGGGAGTGATAAATGTGTAGTGTTCTGTGGTGTGATTTGCTCTAGCTGGCTGTGGGCTATTAGGATTTGGGCAAAAGAATTGGGTTGGTTGGCTAGGTTTGATCTCGTTACCTTTCCAACCCATACTACCCCATACCCACTACAGCATCTTTGATGTTGCAGCTGTGGCACTTGGGAGTGTTAGGGTTTGGTTCAGGGCGAGGGTTGGTGTTGTTTGACAATCAAATACTTCAACTTTTCCAGATCGAACTGCTTCCCTTCTCGTTTTTACTAGGTGATTCATGGCTGCCTAGCCAAATTACCAGAATACCCCCTCACACTGATTTCGTCATAATCGGCGGCTCAGATCTTGGTTATGAACGTGCTTTACCATTCTGGAAAGTAGAGATTAAGACCTTTCCAACGCGTATAAGCTCATTTCTAGAAGTTACCTGAGCAGCACGCAATGATTCGTTGAGGTCGTCAGACTTAATCTCTAATTAGTTCTCTCCAGATTTGCACGATTTCCATCAATGTGGCTACTCCTCTTCCTTCAGGGTTCAAGTGTGTGAAAGGACCAGCGGAGGAAAGTGTTGGTGAGGAGGAGAGGCGGCGTTTTCACTCCTTGGTGGGCAGCCTCATGTATGCGGCCGTTCACACAAGGCCGGATGCAGCCTTTGCTACCGGACAGCTGGCTAGGGTTGTCCAATGCCCTAATGAAGAGCAGGTAGCAGCTGGAGAGAGGGTGGCCAAGTACCTTGGCCAAACAACAACTGTTGGATTGCAATACTCCGCGGCGGTACAAAGGCGTCAAAAGGGTGCGGATGGAGTCGAACTCGGGAGGCTCTTTTTCACCGCCTTCTCTGATGCATCTTGGGCATCAGAACCAGAGGACATGACAAGTGTGGGAGGCTTCATCTGCTGTGTTGGTGGAGGACCAACAGCTTGGGAGAGCAAGAAACAAGTGGACCAAGCATTGAGCTCGGTGGAGTCCGAGTACATGGCACTCTTCCGTGCCATAAGAGAGGTTGTGTGGCAGCGGCATTTGCTAGCTGAATTGGGGGAGGAGCAGCAAGGACCTACCCCACTCTACTGTGATAGCCAGGGTGCTATTGCATTGGCTAAGAATCCGGTTCTTCATGGCCTTACCAAGAAGATGAAGGTGAAGTGGCATTGGGTGAGGAGCATGGTAACCGCGGGTGAAGTGGAGTTGCACTACGTGAAGACGACGGCGCAGCCAGCTGATATGATGACCAAGAGGCTGGTTGAGCAGCAGCATTGGAAGTGTTGCAAGCTTACTGGGATGGCTCTGAACTAAGGGGAGCAGATTCTAAGGCCAACAATCTGAGGGGGAGTTTGTTGGTGCAACCATATGGCTTGCACTCGGCTTGTCGTCCTTGTTTGTGTGTGTGCATGCATGGCATGGAATGAATTGTGAGTCTATGTCATTGCTATCCAGTGCTTGTGTGTGTGTTTGAATGGTGTATCACAATGTGGTTTGTGTCGGTCAAGACATTAGCGAGTTTTTACAACTCGCATGTCAAGTCGTCGTTTGTGTGTCGCATGTGTTTTCTCTATTTTGTCGAGTGTGAAGTGTCCATCGTGTCGCAGGTGTGTGCAGCAAGCCCCCATCAACTCAAGAAGAATTTATCTTGCAGATCCAAGAACAAGAGCTCAAGATTTCAAGCCCAAGGGACGCAGATAAATATTAAATAGTGAAAATAGTAACGTTACTTCGTGTAGTGTTACATTTCACTTGGTGTAGCCCCTTGGAGGGTTGGTTTCGAGACTCTTCATGGTTGGGGTCTCTGTGGTGGTGTACCACCAACCTGGACCTCGGCTCTTGGGGTATGTAGAGGCTGGGAACCATCTCCCTCTCGAACTCTTCTTGCTAAGTTTGTACTCCTAAGACTATAGTGGCTGCTTTACCTCCTGCCAGTCAAACCGCCATAGCGTCGTCAAATCTTCATGGAATTTCATGATTCAACTTGCTGCTGATAGACGACAGCAACACGCTCTAGATCCAAGTTACAGATCACCGTTTGACTCAGTGACCAGATCGTTATCAATATTTGAAGCCGTCTGACGGAAATCCGACTGTGCTCTCTATCTCTCATTATAGGCACATCTAAGCCTATTGTGATTATAACAGCGGCATGACAGCAACAGCATGCGGCATGACAGCACTAGCATGCGGCATGGCAGCAACAGCATGCGGCATGGCAGCAACAGCATGCTTCATGGCTGCAGCAGCATGGGTCATGACAGCAACAGCATGCGGCATGGGTTAGTAGTAGTAGTGCCCGCCTGGTGTGGGCTATGAGAAGGGGACGGTATTTGGGGGCAGGGGGTGTAACAGCATGCGGCATGACAGCAACAGCATGCGGCATGGCAGCAACAGCATGTGGCATGGCAGCAACAGCATGTGGCATGACAGCAACAGCATGGGCCATGACAGCAACAGCATGCGGCAGAGTTAGTAGTAGTAGTGCCGCCTGGTGTGGTCTATGAGAAGGGGACGTTGTTTGGGGGCGGGAGGTGTAACAGCATGCAGCATGACAGCAACAGCATGCGGCATGGCAGCAACAGCATGCGGCCTGGGGTAATCGTAGTAGTGCCGTCTGGTGTGGGTGAGTTATGAGAAGGGGATGGTGATGGGGGGGGAGAGCTGCATTGGGCATGACAGTAACAATACGGTGCATGACAGCAACAACACGGTGCATGACAGCAACACTATGGGCATGGGTTAGTTAGTAGTAGTGCCGTGTGGGCCATGGATGAGATGGGGCAACAGTATGGGGCATTGGTTCTCAGACCTTCAGACCTCCTCTCACCCACACATACACCATCTCCCATCGCCCCTCTCCCCTCCATGCGCCACGGGCGCCTTGGCCTACCATGGTGCATCACGGTGACTTTTGATTTGACTCTTAAGTCCCACACATACACCATGACCCATCGCCCCTCTCCCCTCCAGGCACCACCGATGCCTTGGCCTACCATGTTGCCTCGCGGTGACTTTTGAGACGAATTTTGAGGCGCCTCAAAAGACTACTCTAGAGTAACCTCCACACACCCACACATACACCATCACCCATCGCCCCTCCCTCTCCTCCAGACACCACGGGCGCCTTGGCCTACCATGGTGCATCGCGGTGAATTTTGAGTTGACTCTTAAGTCCCACACATACACCATGGCCCATCGCCCCTCTCCTCTCCAGGCACCACCGACACCTTGGCCTACCATGCCGCATCGCGGGGCACCTCCTCTCTCATGCTATTGATAGCATCCGGCCCCTCCGTGGTCGGTTCTCCCGGCTCTCCTCCCGAGTTTGGCCCCGTGGTGGCCGGTGCTGCGAGCCCTTGTAGGGCGTGGCAGCCGGAGCAGATGAACTTCACCTTGTCACGCTATGCTGTCCCCACCAACTTCACCACTTACCTGTGCAAGGTGGGTCAATGTGTTATAATCACAATAGGCTCAGATGTGCCTATAATGAGAGATAGAGAGCACAGTCGGATTTCCGTTAGACGTCTTCAAATATTGATAACGATCTGGTCGCTAACTTAAACGGTGATCTGTAAGTTGGATGTGGAGCGCGTTGCTCTCGTCTATCAGCAGCAAGTTGAATCATGAAATTCCATGAAGATTTGACGACGCTATGGTGGTTTTACTGGCAGGAGGTACAGCAGCCACTATAGTCTTAGGAGTACAAAAACGTAGGAAGAAGAATTCGAGAGGGAGATGGTTCCCATCCTCTACATACCCCAAGAGCCAAGGTCCAGGTTGGTGGTACACCACCACAGAGTCCCCAACTACGAAGAGTCTTGAAACCAACCCTCCAAGGGGCTACACCAAGTGCAATGTAACACTACACGAAGTAGCGTTACTATTTTCACTATTTAATATTTATCCGCGTCCCTTGGGCTTGAAATCTTGAGCTCTTGGTCTTGGATCTGCAAGATAAATTCTTCTTGAGTTGATGGGGGCTTGCTGCACACACCTGCGACGCGATGGACACTTCACACTCGACAAAATAGAAAAAAACACTTGCGACACGCAAACGACGACTTGACATGCGAGTTGTAAAAACTCGCTAATGTCTTGACCGACACAAACCACATTGTGATACACCATTCAAACACACACACAAGCACTGGATAGCAATGACATAGACTCACAATTCATTCCATGCCATGCATGCATACACACAAACAAGGACGACAAGCCGAGTGCAAGCCATAGGGTTGCACCAACACAATGTGCACCCATGTGCACCCATATGCACCCACCCATATTCTTAAATACTCAAAGCAGCCTATATCTCCAGCTATCGGGGCTACCATCACTAGTGTATAGGAGGAGCCCTCTGCTTGCGCCCTGTACCATGCCTTCGTGCTTGCCCCCTGCATCGTGCCTCCGTGCTTGCCCCCTGCATCATGCCTCCGTGCTTGCCCCCTGCATCATGCCTCCATGCTTGCCCCCTGTATCCTGCCTCCGTGCTTTCCCCCTTTATCATGCCTCTGTGCTTGCCCCCTGTATCATACCTTCGTGCTTGCCCCTTGTACCACCCCTCTCTACCTGGCGTCTGCCTGCAGGTGTTTGAGTCGGCACAGCTGACATCCAAGGTCCATGTCACGGAATTCGGCACAATAGTAGACACCAACCACCCACCCTCAGTGCACCATACCTCCATCTTCGGCTGCACGCAGTGAGTTGAGTTCCTGCTTTTGACTTTGGAGTCGACTCAAAAGGCACGGAGTGAGTCCCTGCCTTAGACTTTGGAGTCGACTCAGAAGGCATGCAGTGAGTGGAGTCCCTGCCTCTGAAAGTCATCCCTGCCTTTCGGCTGCACTCGAAAGTCTTCTCGCGTTTGTTGTTGATGCAAAGGTAGTTGACACCAAAAGGCCGCAAAGGTAGTTGACACCAACCACCCGCCCTCTGTTAGTCAAATGGAGGGCCCCTTGGAGGCGCCTTGCTCCCACTGAGTCTACTTTTGAGGCGCATCAAGATAGTTGCCTCCAACCACCCGCCCTCTGTGCACCATACCTCCATCTTCAACTGCACGCAGTGAGTTGCTTTTTTGAGGCGCCAAGAAAACCTGAGGTGCCTAATATAACGTCTTTGCTTCTGAGTCGACTCAAAAGCAAATCTGAAGCGCCTAATATAACGCCTTTGTGAGGAGCATCACAATCTGAGGCGTCTTTGTGAGGCGCATCACAATCTGAGGCGTCTTTGTGAGGCACATCAGGGCGCCAACCACCCGCCCTCAGTGCACCATGCCTCCATCTTTGGCTGCTCCTAGTGAGTTTTGTCGCTTGCTCAAAATATCTGGCATAGGACCAACCCACAAAACTGAAAACGGCCTCAAAACTTGACTCAATAGTGAGCCTCTCTCTCCCCCACACAACTTGCACACCCTTCACCCCCCCTCACTTCAGGGATGAGTTTGACAACATTCCTCCTGTGGTGTGCTGCACACACGAATGCAAACCCCTATCTCCCTGTGCCATGGTCGTCGCCATGTGGGCTATTGAGGGCCACTGGCCGGGTGGGAGGCCACCTATTTGAGAGCCCGTCTCCCCCCAACACTACCTACCTGCACCCACCCCTCATTCAACCCTCCAGGGACGAGTTTGACAACATTCCTCCTGCGGTCCGCGGCACACACTTCGACTGCAACCCCCTCTCCCTGTGCGCCATGGTGGTCGCCATGTGGGCTATTGGCGGCCGCCCCTTTGTTTACCCCCCGAGCGCTGGCTAACCCACCGGCCCCCACTACTATACAAGTTCGTGGTGCAGATGGGTGCTCTGCGGTGGAAATGGGGGCAGTGTGGTGCAGATGGATTTGGATGAGCTTTGTGCCCCCTCATCTGGGTTGTTTGTGGTTCATAAATACTGTACTAATCAGCTTAAGGCATACTATTCTGGTTCATACTATTCTGATTCATACTATTCTGGTTCATACTGTTCTGCCAGCTGCTGTAACAAAGCGGATTTCGATGCTTTTGAATCGACTCAAACTCAGCGCTAGGCCCTCGGCCCACACAAACACCTTGGTCCTTTGTACCCCCTTCCGTCCCCCGCCCTTTCTCTCCTTCCCCCCCTTTCCCCGATGCACTACACGAATACCGAGGGCCGCAGTGACATCGTTGACAGCAGCAGGATGTATGTTAAGGTGGAGAGAACCCCCCGCCCCACATAAACACCTTGCCCCCCCCGCTCCCCTGGCCCCAGCTCCAAGCCCCACCGCTCTCCTGCCCCTGGCTCCCTGCTCCCTGCCCCCTGCCACCGCCCCCTGCCCCCCGCCCCCTCCCCCTCAGCAGACGCACTTCACAAATCCCGAGGGCCGCAGCGACATCGTTGACAGCAGCGGCATGTATGTTAAGGTGGAGAGAACCCCCCGCCCCATGGACGCGTCCATCATGCTGACCGGCCCTCTGTGGTACCAGCAGCAGATCCGCATCCACCCTGGACAGGTGAGACTCACACTCACCCATGACTGGCCCCTGTGACCGCTAGCCACTGCCCCATCGAGGTGTGTCGGGACTCGAGTGACATGCTGGTGGGGAGGACCCCCCGCCTCATCCTGGCGTCCATCATGCTGACCGGCCTGCTGTGGTACCAGCAGCAGATTGTTGCATGACTCTTAGTAACATGGAAGTCCTAAGAGTGCATGGGACAGCGCTGAAGTTTGTAGGTGAGTTTTGAGTAGAGCTTTGTACTGTAGAGAGCGTTATGCAGTTTTGGGATTGGAGGTACAGTGCGGTGGACAAGGATTGGAGGTTGGTGCGGAGGGCGACAGTTGGAGGGGTGGAGAGCTGACGTCATCCAGGTAAGCAGGGTTGGGAGCAATGCAGTAAGCAGGCATGCTGGAAGGGGATTGGAGCGAGGATGACAGAATCTACGGGAGCCATCACGGTGGAGAAAACCCCGAAACGGTGCGCAGCTTGAGCAGTGGGGAGGGTTGGGCTCGGCTCAGGGTGTCTCCTCTAGTGCTGGAGAACAAAACCAGAGCTACGCGATTGCTTAGCTACTTTGTTTGTTCTCTCAAGAACCGTGGGAAAACCTGTATGCTTTGATGCTAGTGGAAGCATTCCTGAGCAGATGTTGGATCCACGATGAGAGGATAAGCAGAGGAAGGGTAAGCAGTGAAGGGGATAGATAATAGATCCCGACTTAAACATACAAACAAAGTCATGGCGGGCATGTCACTTCGTAGTGGCATGCGGCTACCCAAGGGAGACTACTCGTCCGCAAGGAAGGAGGAGCCACCTGCTGACGAGGGAGGAAAGATGTCGGAATCGCCCGAAGCGGAATGCGGGGGAGGGCTCGAGGAGCCGGGTGAGGATAGCGTTGACTGGGGAGAAGAGTATCGCAGCTTTGATAGCTTCGCAATGCGAGCAGACCGCCGAGCGGAGGGTGTAACATCCGAGGAGGGGGGGCAGGCTCGAGGCGCTTTTTCCAGGAGAGCGACGAGCTTGCGACGAGCTTGGGAGAGGCAATGCCACGGAGGCAGGCGCTGGCTTGGGAGGTTATAGAGGCGGGGAAGCGGCGCCCCAGCAGCGAGTAATCTCGGGTCACGAGGACCTTCGCGACGATCCGCGTGGGAGGAGGGGGCGAGGTACTGCTACACGAGTCTCCCGAAGGTGGAGGTACCGGCTCGATTCACCGGGGACCAAGAGGCAGGTCTGCGCCTGAAGACTTACACCATGCACGTGCGCAGCGAAAAGTTATGCTGGGAGCAAGATGGCCTGGATCTTCGACATTTCTTTCGGTCGCTGGGCAACACACTAGCAGGGGACGCCGAAGCCTTCTTCCAGGAAGTCCGCGACCTGCTGCTACCGGAGGAGGAACGCGACACCTTTGGGAAGGTGCGGCGCGATGAGGAGGGACAGATCATGCGGCTACTAGACCCCACCGAGCGGTTTCTGTCGGAGCTGCAGGATCACTTCCCGACACAGACACCGGCGCGGTTGAAGGAGTTCGAGCAGCTCCGACGGGCTCCACGGGAATCGCTCCTGGCATACTACCGCCGGGTGGATCATTTAGCGAAAGACATCAGTTGTGACGAACCACGGATCATGGTGGCTAAGTTCATGGATGGCCTGACTGGAGATCTCGCCCGCACTGCCCGAGATCACACGTATAATCTGGGGCCCAACGCAACTTTGCGGCAGGCGTACGAGATCGCTTGGCGAAAAGAGCAATCTCTAAGTATGTACGACCCGGGGAAGCGGACGGAGCAGACGGGTCTGCGCGACCGGGACCGTCGAGGGGTCAGATGGGGAGGAGCGATGCTGGCAGGAAGCGAGGGCGAAGAGGAGGGGAGAGGGGAGACCAGAGGATACAAAGGGAAAGCGCAAAGGACCTGAAGCACGACCCCACTTCCAGGAGTGGAGCCGGTGTGCTACAAGTGTCGCGAGCTGGGACAATTCAAATGGGAGTGTCCCAAGCTGCAGACATGTGCGTACTGCCAGCGGAAGGGACACTCTATCAACAATTGCTACACCAAGCAGCGGGAGGAGAAGAGCAAGGGTGGCCGCCGGAGTCGTATAGAAGCCCTAGAGGAAGAACTGAAGAAGCTGAAGGCTGCCGAAGTAGAGGGCAGCGACAAAGAGGAAGACCGAGCGGCCTTACTGGCCAGAGCCCTACAGGCAGGGGAAAAAGAAAAAGGGGAGCCATTCTTCATGGCGGCAGGGAATGAGCGCGGTCGAGAAAACCTGGGCCTGCGCAGTGGAGGCGCTGATGGGAGACGGGCGGCGACCCCCGCACGCAGAGGGCCCCGAGCAGGAGCGAGACAGCCCATGGCGCAGGCGGCGGCAGCTGCAGGTGAGGTGGTGGAGAGGTCGGGGGGCAGGCATGGTCCGCATCGGCACCCATTCGAGCACTTGGCGGCACGACCCTGCTTGGTGGAGGCAAGGGAGGGGGCTGTGGCAGTAGAAGGCAAGTACCCAGGAACCACCATTATCGATACAGGAGCATCTCAGGTGCTGGTGGGGCTTCGTTTGGTGGAGAGACTAGGGCTGCACAAGGAGGAGAACGTGACACCGGAAGGAGTCCGAATTCAGACTGTAGAGTTAGGGGCAGGAAAGTGGCTGCCAAGGACACTTAAGGCCCAGGAGGTGGTGCTGGCCCCAGGAACCGAGGACGAGGCCAGGATTCGAGTACACTGCTTGGTTTCCGATTCGGACGACTACGACCTACTGCTAGGGATGGAGCTCTTGTAGAAGGTGGGAGCAGTGGTGGATACATGGACCGAGAAGGTGACGTACCAGCCACGATATTGGGACCATGAGATCCGAAGCAAGGAGAACACTGCTGCCACGCTGCCAGCTCGCTTCCTGAGGAGCCAACCTGAGTACAAGGCCCCACCGTCTGCAGCGAGGGCAGGCCGTTGCCCTCAACACCAAGTCCAACCGGGCCCTGCTTGCTGACGATTGGCCCGAAGGAGGACAGCCTGAGCCCTTGGACCTCGGCTTCCTGCTCCACACTCTAGAACCCGAGGGGGAGCTCCCCTAGAGGGGAGGCTCCAGCCAGGCTAGCTTGCTAGCTTGCACCTGAATTGATTGCATGCCTTGCCTTGGATGTAACCTCCTATTCAATAATGAAGGACCACTAAAAAAAAAAAAAAAAAAAAAAAAACGGAGCTGAGATTCGAAATTGCAGGGGTTTACCTGGAGTGGACGAGCGAGCACAAGAGGTGGGAAGAAGCAGCTGGTCCCAGACTGGTCGAATACAGAGAAGCGCGAGGGCTAACTGAGCCCACCAACGACTTCGAGACCTTTAACCGGCCGATCACGCTGCTGGAGATGTTTGGGGGCATCGGACCCGGACTTACTGTCTGTGTGAGGACGGGGCAGACTATCAAGAAGTGGATCTATGTGGAGAAGAACGAGGACGTGCGGCTTATGGCATTCCATCATGCGCGTCTGCTACACCAGCTATTCCCGGATAAGCTACCGATGGCAGTGGTGGAGGAGGCGGAGGCAGCAGCACACAAGCTGAATGATGTCCGAGCGATCACCACAGAAACGGTGGAAGGTTGGGGGCAGATAGACTTGCTAGTGGCGGGCTGGGAGTGTCAAGGACTTTCCAGAGCAGGGAGGGGCAGTGGACTGACAGATGCCTGGACCGGGCTCTTTCAGGAGCTGATAAGGGTGATGAAACTTATTAAAAGAAGGCAGGGACCCGTGTCATATTTCGTGGAGAATCTTGACGTGGCAGAGGATGAAAGGAGCATGGTGCGGGAGGCTCATCGAGCAGTGACAGGGGAGCTGGGGCATGGAGTGGCATGGGACGCAGCCCAAATGGGATCCCGAACCCATCGAGTGTGGCGGTATTGGCAAAACCTGATATCGTAACCGGTGCTGAGAGATCAGCTTGGAAGGATGCAGAGACCGCTGCCCAGGCTAGTACAGGACATATTGGAACCTGGCCGAAGGGCAGCACCAGTCGTCACGCCAGATGTGAAGACACAGTTCCCATGCAATCAGGTGGGGGCACCAAGGCAGGCCTGGCCTACCTTGGTGGCGACCCCCGCTAGCTACGCCTTCCGAATGCAAGGGAACAAGCCAGGGCCAGGGATGGTGCAAGTGTTGGCGACAGGGCAGTGGGAGGAATCGTTGGCGGTGGAGAGAGAAAGGGCACTGGGGTACCTGAGGAATGCGACAGCAGCGGAGGGAGTTTCAGAGGAGGCCAGGAGGAGAGCATTGGGAGGAGCCATAATCCAGCATGCGCTGGTGTGGCTATTGTACCGGGCCGAGAAGCGATAAGAGGGCTGAGGTGGCAGTTGCTGATGCTATGGAGGTGGTGAGACATCGAGGCCATGCTGGAGGCTGACCCGGTGCAAGCCCTGGAAGTGGTGGAAGTGTGGTAGAGGATGAAGGCGGAGGCCGGGGAGGAGAGACGTCAGGAGGAAGACAAGCTGAACCATACTGGCAGAGCCTTGCTAGCGCGGGCCAGGCAGGAGGCGGAGGAAAGAGAGCAGATGCAGGAAGGAGACGGGGAGGAGGAAGAGGTATCACCCCTCATGGGCATACCCTCAGCCTGGGATATTGGAGAAGGGCTAGATGGGGAAGAGAAAGAGAAACTCAAGGGGGTGCTGGAGGAGGCAAGGGGAGCATTCGCCTACTCACTGGCAGAATTGGGCAAGTGTAACCGAGCGGTCATGCAGATAGACGTGCAAAGTGCAGAACCGGAATACCAAAGGAGGCGGCGAATGAGCCCAGGGGACATGGACATTGCTGAGGCGAAGTGCAGAGAACTGCTAGCAGCCGGGCTCATGCGAGAATCAACCTCAGGGTACGCAGCAGCGACGGTGGTGGCTGCTAGGAAGGACCTGACAGGAGAAATGCTAGCGAGGCAGATGTGTGGTGATTACTGCAGGCTGAACAGGATTACCAAGAGTGACAGGTACCCGATGCCGATGGCCGAGGAAATATTCGATAAACTGGCAGAAGGGAAGGTGTATTCCACGCTAGATCTGCGACAGGGACTCAATCAAATCCCAATCAAGGAGGAGGATAAGCCGAAGACGGCTTTCCATGGGCCCGACCGACTGTACGAATGGAACTATGGTGGCGGAAAAATTTGCCCGAATGTCTAGCACTTTGAAACTTATTGCTATGCCACACATGTTTTGAATGTAGTAACACCATTTTTTCCCAGTCCTGTTACACGGTTGTCGAGTTCTGTTTCAACCGTATCCTGCTTGGCGCGATTGTGACACAACCAAAAAGCGGGGTTGAGATTTACTCCCCGACAGTCGACCTGGACATTTCATACTGAGCGACAGACTAGATCTATTTCGCTCGTCACTTAGGGTACACATGGTCTCGCGCAACAGTTGCTAGTCTAGGAGTTAGTCCTGAAGCGAACCTACGACCGCATCACGATGAAGCTAGTAGATGACAGGAAGTGCGCTCGTATCATAAGCATGTTGCGCAATGGGCATTTGACTAGGAAAATAGGCAAGAGCACCGTGCATGATTACGGTCTGAAGTTGATTGCCGAGACTAGTCGCGATGAGGTGCGACCCACGATGCCCACGGCTGACTGCCCACGCTTAATCACAACCCGCCTCCAGCGCGGAATAGTTCAAGCCATTACCAGCGGGGAGGTGAAAAGCAGTGTAGACGCCGCAAAGATGTTAGAGGAGAAGCACGCTCTGGCTGTAGACTCGAAGACCGTGAGGAACTAGTTACGATCCGCAGGCTTGATCGCTGTGCAGCAGCCCAAGAAACCCAGGCTCTCTGCGAAAAACATACGTGATCAGCTCGATTTCGCGAGGTCGCATGCCGAATGGACGATGGAGGACTGAAAGCGCATGATTTGGTCTGATGAGACTAAGATAAATCGTTTCTGCTCCGACGGACGTGCGTACGCCTGGATTCACGAGGGCACCAACCTCTAGAGCCATCAAGTCCAACAGACAGTTAAGCATGTGGGCGGATCTGTGATGGTGTGGGGTTGCATGACGTATGAGGGGGCGGGGTTCATGTGCAAGATAGATGGACGGATGGATGGGCCGCTGTATCGCAACATCTTGCAAGATGAGCTCTCACAGACCATCGACTTTTTCAAGCTCCCCCCCTCAGAGGTCATTTTCCAGCACGACAATGATCCCAAGCACAGGTCCCGTCTGGTGCAAGACTGGCTTGGGGAGCAGGAGTATGCGGTGCTGGAATGGCCCTCGTCCTCCCCGGACCTTAACCCGATAGAGCACCTGTGGGCACACTTGAAAAGGGAGCTGGCGAAGTACGAAAAACCACCTAGTGGAATGTTGGAACTATGGGAGAGGGTGTAGGAGGAATGGGACAAGATACCGGTGGAGGTGTGCTCAAACCTTATCGACAGTATGCCGAGGAGGATCAAGGCAGTGATTCGCGCAAAGGGACGCTGGACTAGGTACTAGTTTTCCTTGTTTCTAGTTTGCTGCCTGTCCCCGGTACAAATTGTCCAGATGTGCTCTTATGAACTGCTTAGGTGCTCTTATGAACTGCTCTTACAATGCTCCACTCATCAAAATGCAGAAAAAGACTAAACATCCGGACAATTGTTTCTGTCACTGTATATGCCCTTCGGACTTAAAAATGCCTCGGCAAAATTTCAACGCGTGATGGTTCAGGTACTGCAGGGAGTCCCCAGAGCCCTGTGCTACATTGACGATGTGGTAGTGTTTAGTGAAGACGGACAAAAGCACGTGCAGGATGTGGCAGCTACCCTCGCAGCCATACAAGAGGCAGGACTCACCTGCCACCCCGGGAAGTGCCACTTCGGTGTCAAGACGGTGGCCTATCTGGGATTCCAGGTGGGAGAAGGAGGGCTGTCCGTGCAGCAGGCAAAAGTAGAAGTGGTGGACAGATTGCAGGTGCTAAGCGACAGAAGCACTCTGCGGGCATAGCTAGGCTTCCTGAGCTATTACAGGAAGTTTGTGCCGAACTTTAGCAAAACGGCAAAGCCCCTGAACTGGCTATTGGGGGAGCACGTGCCATGGAAGTGGGGAGAGGAGTAGGATGCTGCATGGCGGATGCTAAAGGAGGCCATCAAGTCAGCCCCCATGCTGAAACTACCCAACCCAGAAGAGCCTTTCGTGCTGTACACAGATTGGAGCAGCAGTGGGATGGGGGCAGTGCTATGCCAGAAGGAAGGAGGGGTAGAGAGGGTGGTTGCGTACGCTAGCCGCTCATGCAGCCCAGCAGAGAGCAATTATAGCTCTTACGAGGGGGAAGGACTGGCGGCTGTCTGGGCAGTGGAGCTCTTCTGACCATACCTCCGAGGGCGGCAGTTCACTCTGGTGATGGACCATCAGCCAATTCTGTGGCTCATGACTTACCAGACCCTGAGAGGCCGCAATGCAAGATGGGCGATGAGACTGCAGGAATTCGAATTCGAGGTGAAGCACCAACCAGCGAAGACCCTGCAGCATGTGGACGGGCTGTCCAGACAAGGCCCAGGAGCAGAGGAACCGGAGATCGGAGTTGAGACAAGCCTCACCTACCTGGCCGTGGCAGTCGAGAGGGAGGGCTGGAATCGGAAAGCAGAGAAGGAGAAGGGTAGCAAGGGAGTGTGGGAGGATACACCCGTGCTGCATTGGGTCCAGGGAAAGGGGCCCGAGGGGGATGAAGTGTCTGAGAGGGTAAGAGCGAGAGGGATACACTACCGCTGGCAGACCGATCAGCTACAGTTGGTGACAGGGGACAGGTGGAGGATTGTACCGAGGCCAGAGGAACGAGAAGAGCCTATCCAGAAGGTGCACACCCGGCTGGGCCATTACACTAATGAGCGAACCATTCAGCTGCTGCAGACGATGTACTGGTGGACCGGGATGAGGCAAGGAATGAAGGAGGTGGTGGAGAGGTGTGAACCATGTAGGAGGAGTAAGGCGAGGCTGGAGAAGACCAAGGCTGAGCTTCGGTCCCTGCCCATTGGGGCGATAGGCTTTCGGTGGTCGCTGGATATGGCAGGGGAGCTGCCGCTATCGAGGCGAGGAAAGCAGTACGTGCTAGTGATGATAGAACACACCAGCAAGTGGATTGAGGTGACGGCATTGGCCCGCAAGACAGCGGCAGGGGTAGCGGAATCTTTCGACCAACAGTTTCTGACAAGGTTCGGGGCATATGGGGAAGTGTTGACTGATCAGGGCAGCGCATGGAGATTCGACACACTGCTGAAGGCAGCAGGCATCACACACCGACGGACGTCTCAGTACCACCTACAGGTAGATGGGCTGATGGAGAGGATGGTGCAGACGCTCAAGCGAGGGCTGAGGAAGTATTGGGAGGAGGAAGAGCAGAGGGATTGGGATCGTCACCTGCCCTGGGTGGCAGCGGGCTACAGGTTCAGCAAGCAGCAAGCACTGAAGGACTACTCGCCGTATTACCTACTGTTTGGACGGGAGCCCGTGCTGCTGGTGGATGCACCACGCATCATGATGGAGTCAGTGAAGACGGAGGACCCATGTACCTGGGCGGCAGTGGCTGCTGTACGGGCTAGCTATCTCCGTAGCACACTACCAGCCGCACTGGAGAACTTGGAGGTGGCGCAAATGAGAGATGCGTGGAGGTATCGGCAGAGGAAGCAAAGAGGGGCTAGCCCTGGAGGACAAAGGGAGACCCTACAGATTGGGGACAACGTGTACCTGCGCGAACAACGGAGGAGCACGCTAGATTATGGCATGAGCAAGCAGCGGTGGATGGTGAAGGCGCAGAAGGAGTCGGCCGTGTTGTTGCTACAGAATATGCAGGGGAAAATCGTGGAGGATCACATCATGAACGTGGCTCGCGCAGGGCAGTCGCAGCTAGACTGCGAGGGCGCTAGTCCGACCGCGAGGGGGCATGAGAGGGTTCAGCAAGAGATAATGACCTATAAGAGGCGCCAGGGCCAGAAGGTGAAGGACCCAGGGTAGCATGTCCTCAGAGAAGAAGGAGAGAGCCAAGGGGAAAGAATATGTGACAGCTGTCGCATGACTCTTAGTAACATGGAAGTCCTAAGAGTGCATGGGACAGCGCTTAAGTTTGTAGGTGAGTTTTGAGTGGAGCTTTGTACCATAGAGAGCGTTATGCAGTTTTGGGATTGGAGGTACAGTGCAGTGGACGAGGATTGGAGGTTGGCGCGGAGGGGGACAGTTGGAGGGGTGGAGAGCTGACGTCATCCAGGTCAGCAGGGTTGGGAGTGACGCGGTAAGCAGGCATGCTGGAAGGGGATTGGAGCGAGGATGACAGAATCTACGGGAGCCATCACGGTGGAGAAAACCCCGAAACGGTGCACGGCTTGAGCAGTGGGGAGGGTTGGGCTCGGCTCAGGGTGTCTCCTCTAGTGCTGGAGAACAAAACCAGAGCTACGCGATTGCTTAGCTACTTTGTTTGTTCTCTCAAGAACCGTGGGAAAACCTGTATGCTTTGATGCTAGTGAAAGCATTCCTGAGCAGATGTTAGATCCACGATGAGAGGATAAGCAGAGGAAGGGTAAGCAGTGAAGGGGATAGATAATAGATCCCGGCTTAAACATATGAGAGGGTACAGCAAGAGATAGTGACCTATAAGAGGCGCCAGGGCCAGAAGGTGAAGGACCCAGGGTTGCGTGTCCTCAGAGAAGAGGGAGAGAGCCAGGGAGAAGGAATATGCACCAAGATCCGCATCCCGCCCGGCCAGGTGAGAGAGACTCACCTATGACTGCTCATCTGCAGTAACTGCTGATTTGACCATTCGCCCTCATCGCCCCACATCCTGCCTCTATTTCCCTCTCACCTCCTGTTAAAAATAACCCACTTTTCCCCTCTGCACGTGCCCCTCACTCCCCCTCACTGCTGGTCACTCCTCATCTCTCCCCCTCTCACCCCCCTCATTTGCTCGCCCATCCCGAATATCATGGCAAGCCACGGGTTGGGAAGTGTGCTTCTCAGCACCTGGAAGCAAGGATTCTTTCGAGTATGCTGCACTTGCACACACTCCCTCAATCCCTCACTCCCTCCCTCAGTCCCTCCCTCACTTCCTCTCACACTCCCTCTCTCACTCCCTCTCCCTCGTATTATCCTTCATCCACCCCCCCTCTTCCTATCCCTGGCAGCCAGCCCTCTTGAACTCTGCAGTCTATGTGCCCGGTAGTTTGCACAAGGTCCACATTTGGAGCCGACCGAGTGGGGATGGCTGTGAGCATGAAGCAACTGCTCTCTCTCTCCTTCACTCTCCCTCACTCACTCCCGCATCCTGTTCCTCTCCCCCCACCTCACCCTTTCCGCTGGCAGCCCTCTTGGACGCTGCTGTCCGTGTGTCCGGGGGTGTGCACCCAAGAGGCGTTTGGAGCCAAGTCTGTGAGGGTGATTGCGAGTGTGAACCACCTGCACTCTCTCTTTCCCTCTCCCTCACTCACTCCCGCGTCCTGTTCCTCTCCTGCGTCCTGTTCCTCTCCCCCCCACCCTTTCCGCTGGCAGCCCTCTTGGATGCTGCAGTCCGTGTGTCCGGGGGTGCGCACAAAAGAGGCGTTTGGAGCCGAGTCCGTGAGGGTCCTTGCGAGCATGAACCACCTGCACTCGCTGGGCCGGCAGGTCTACACCGAGGCGTTCAGGGGTGGCAAAAAAGTCACCACCATCAGAAAAATCGATTACTAGTGAGCGCGAGGGCGAAGGGACTCGTGCCTGGGCGTAGGGACTCGTGCCTGGGCGTGTGGGTATGCACACCCGTGCCTGGGCCAGGGAATATCGACTCATGTCTGTCACCGTGTATGAGCCACCTATGTGGGGCTGTTGGGCGTGCATGTATGCACCAAGGCAGCGTACTGGAGGGAGTCCGTGAGGGTGATTGCGAGTGTGAGCCACCTGCACTCGCTGGGTCGGCAGGTCTACACGGAGGCATTCCGGTTCAGGGGTGGGGTGAAGGTTTCTTTCAGGGGAAACGTGAAGTGGTCAGTATCAGCAGAATCGTCTACTAGTGAGTGCGTGGGTATAGGGACTAGTCTGCTTGTGATTGGCTGGTTGTATATGTGTTGGCTGGCCCTATATAAGTGGCTGGTTGTATATGTGTTGGCTGGTGCTCTATAAGTGGCTGGTTGTGTATGTGTTGGCAGGCCCTGGGTCTTCAAATTTAAATTCTTTATTCGACAACACGAATGATCCGCACTCGACACAATAGGAAAACAAACATGACGCGATGCGCAGACGACGACTTGACACACAACTAGCGAGACTCTCTAATGACCTGAAACACACAGACGGCATTGTGGCGCATCATCACTACAAGCACACCATAAGCATCAAATAAAACTTCATAGATTTTTCTACGCCTTTCTTGCCATGCCATGCTTACGCATACAAACAAGGACCACAGGCCAAGTTCAAGCCATGAAGTTGCACCAACATCTATCCCCTCCCCTCTATCCATGTCCCTTCTGTCCCTATCCCTTCTATCATTATCCCCTCTATCCCCATCCCTTCTGTCCGTGCCATGCCATGCCATGCCATGCCATCCCCCTCCCCCTCTCCTTCCTCCCCCCTCCCCCTCTCCCCCCAGCGACTTCGACTCCCAGCAAATCATCCTGGTGCCGCCTGAGTTTGAGCTCCTTCCACTGCCCTTTCTCACCCTTTCTCCTTGCTCCCCTCCCTTCTCTCCTTCCTCTCCCTCCCTCTCTCATCCTCCTCCCGTCGCTCTTATCCCTTCCCTTCCTCCCCCCCCCAGTGATTATGAATCCCAGCAGACCATCCCAGTGTCGCCCGAGTTCGAGCTCCGCCCGAGTGATGAGCTACGCACCACGTGTGTGTGGGACTCGACCAAGCGAGGCAACATGAGTCCTCCTTGCTGACATATGAAGGGCTGCGGTGCATTCGATAGACTGGGTGTGCTATGAGCTGTGAGCCGTGAGCTGTGAGCGATGAGCTGTGCACCATGTGTGTGTGGGACTCGACCAAACGAGGCAATGTGAGTTCTCCTTGCTCATGGTACAAGGGTTGCTCATAGTTAGAAGGGATGCTCATGAAGGGCTGCAGTGCTTTCAATAGACTGGGTGTGCTGTGAGCTGCGCACCACATGTGTGTGGGACTCCACCAAGCGAGGTGTCGCAGAATTGTGCTGTGGCACGTTTATGCGACAGTAGTGTAGAGATGGCAATTGAGGAGGGTAGCGCACTAAGGCAAGGGAAGGGGCGGGTTATAGCAGAGTGGCAGGTTCGGGGAGTGTGGGTTGGACCAAGCCATCAAATACAAAGGTGCGACGGTGACAGCTGGCGAGTTTGGGGAAGGGTGACGAGCTTCACTTAATTTTGATCGGGAAAGGGGCGAGGGATCGGCATGTTCAGGGACGAATGCCTGCTTGAGCATGTGTACCATAGAGTGAGTGTGATTGAAGCGGTCGACGTGACGGGGATCCTAAGTCAGGTAGGGAGTAGGGGTACATAGCGGGACTGCCTGGGTTCAGAATCATGTTCACTTGTTTGTTTCTTGCATAAGTTGAATAAAGCCTCACTTAAATCAAGTGACCTGTTCGAAGGCAGGAGGCTGTTGCGAGAGAGGTTGTGGCGTAGCTATGATAGCTCAGACGCGGTAGCCATACTTTTCAACAAACAAGCAAAGAGGATTCAGAGATCTGACAATAGAGGAGAGGAGAGAAGACGTGCCGAGGACATGGAATTGCGCTCGGGGAATCGTTACCCACGATTTGTGAGAGCGACTTGTGAGGCGCTTCAAAGCTTGTGTGCTGTGAGCTGCGCACCATGTTTGTGTAGGACTTGAGCAAGCGAGGCAACGTGAGTTGGTGTGTGAGAGCGACTTGTGAGGCGCCTCAAAGGTTGTGTGCTGTGAGCTGCGCACTGTGTGTGTGTGGGACTCGACCAAATGAGGCAACGTGAAATGGTGTGTGAGAGCGACTTGTGAGGCGCCTCAAAGCTTGTGTGCTATGAGCTGAGCACCGCATGTGTGTGGGACTCCACCAAGAGAGGCAACGTGAGTCCTCCTTGCTCATGATAGAATGGGTGTGTTTTGAGCTGCGCACCGCGTGTGTGGGACCCAAGAAAGCAAGACAACGTGAGGCTGTGTGTCTAGGGTTTAGGGGAGATGTTCCCATCCCTTGTTCCCATCCCTTGTCTCGAGGAGATGTGCTCGGACTTCCTCATCTTCTACCCCGCAAAGCGAAGTACGTGTATCACGCTTCTGGCAACCCCCATTAGGCACTCTCCATTGGGCACCCCCCATTGGGCATCCCCCATTGGGCACCCCCCATTGGGCACCCCCCATTGGGCATCCCCGATTGGGCACCCCCGATTGGGCACCCCCGATTGGGCACCCCCGATTGGGCACCCCCCATTGGGCACCCCCCATTGGGCATCCCCCATTGGGCACCCCCCATTGGACATCCCCCATTGGGCACCCCCCATTTGGCATCCCCCATTGGGCACCCCCCATTGGGCACCCTCCATTGGGCACCCCCCATTGGGCACCCCCCATTGGGCACCCCCCATTGGGCACCCCCCATTGGGCACCCCCCATTAGGCATCCCCCATTGGGCACCCCCCATTGGGCACCCCCCATTGAGCACCCCCCATTGGGCATCCCCCAGTGGGCACCCCCCATTGGGCACCCCCCATTGGGCACCTCCCTCCCTTCTGCCACCTCCCTTCCGACTCCACCTACTAGAGGAGATGTGCTCCGACTTCCTCATATTCTACCCTGCAAAGCGAAGTTCGTATCACTCGCTCTGCACCTCCCATCATTTGGAAGATCATCGAAGGTCTACCAGTGTATACGTGCTACTCCTTTTCCCTTTCCTTTTATTAACCCCTCTTGTGTTCTTCCAGGCAGTCATAGGCTTGTCCTGTGACCTGTGTGCTCTTTTGTGCAAGAACACCTATGCTCACTTTGGCCCCATTCTGCCTTCCTCTCTCCTTTGTCCCTCCTTTCCCCTTTCTCCTTTTTCCTTGCGTGCTATAACATGCAGACATGAACAGCATATGTGCGGCATTTGCAAACAGCACACTCACCTTTGCCCCATCCTACCCTCCTTCTTTTATCCCATGACATGTCGTGGATGCATGGCCTGTGGCATCACATGCAGACATGAATTGGTGCTATGACATCTGTGCGTCGTTCGAGAACAACACCTTCAGCTTCGACCCCTCGAGCCCAACTCTCTCATCGTTCTACCTGCGCGGCGCTGAGGCCACTTCCATTATCCCCTCGCTCAAATCTTGCTCTATTAACCTCGGCGCCAACCTACTCTTTGCTTTTCGGCATGGGTGTACGAATGAGTAAGTCTTCTTTTGAGGCGCCTCAAAAGCAGCCCAACCCTTTCAATGTTCTACCTGTGCGGAGCCGAGGCCACTTCCATTGTTCCCGCTCAAGTCGTGCTCTATTAACCTCGGCGCCAACCTACCCTTTGCTTTTTAGCATGGGTGTACGAACAAGTAAGTCTTCTCTCGTATAACTGAAGTTGATTTTTTAGAATTCTAGGAAACCAACTCTGCTCCTGCAAACCACTTCAGTAAGCGTAAGCAGGTGAGTCGTGCTAAGTGGTCACGTGAGGTGGGTAAGAGCGGTCATCTTCCCTTTGTTTAGGTCTCCAACCAACCCACGCACACTGTCACTAAAACAAGCAATTTATTAGGTGTGTTTAAGGGGTGCAGGTAATATACTTCTGACGGACATGCGGCAGTGGGAAGAGCAAGACAACGCTTCTGCCTACTTGTATTGTACGTGCGGGCACTTACCTAAGCTGATCTCTAAGCTGATCTCCAATCACAAGTTGCGCAATAGTTTCGTTATATATGCACCCACTCTACACTCTGCAAATCTTGCCTTTCTATAGTTCTCAATCTTCCTCAGGGCTTGTGAGCTATGTTCCCTCTAGGATTGATGGGCTTGTGAGCTTGTGAGCTAATGTGATGGTACACTTTTCTGTGGCCTGATATGGCAGGACTGTGAAAACGCTTGAGGGTCTTCTGATGGAGCAGGTTTCGATTGCCATTGCCAACAGCACCAATGGTACCACCAGTGCTAAATCTTCATTGCGTGTGCAGCTGCTGCCAATGGTGCCCTTCGCCTTTCTGCTCGTGATCACAATTGTCATCTTGCCCATGTGACCGCATGCTGATGATTTTGTGCATTTCGTTCAAGACACCAGCAGCATGCGCACTGTATGCGAGCCAATGGGATCCCTTTTATTTATTGTGCATGCGTTGTAGCATTGCACCTTGACGTAACTCTCAGAGTAGCAAAATAACTAGAAAAGACAGTACAGAGTAGTTTTGTGCTAGGTGTTGTACTCTCTATGGGCATGCACCTAGCTAGCCTAAAAAAATATACATGTTTATGTTGTTGGGTTGAGAATAGCCCTAGGATCTTTTCAGAATGCGAAGTCCTTGTAATAGAGTGCTTGATAGCACAGCATAAGTCTTGAGTTGAACCCTTGTACTGGAATGTGAGAACAAGTGATTGATTATAGCAAAGGGATCAGGGTTCTCTTTTGGAAAAAAACGTGTCTGAGGAATCAGACAAGGTTTGCGCACTTTGTCTGATGTACTTTTCACTATCAGAGAAGTATGAAAAAGTTGTATGATTTTTCAGACAATTGTAGAACGAATGTAAGAAAATTCATAGAAACGTATTTGCATAGTCTGTTTGAATGAGATGCAGCACTTCGACTAATTAGCAGTTGCGGGTTACAAACGAGCAAAACCACTAAGTGTCCAATCCACGGTCTCTGCTAGGATTTTCGGCCGTCTGAAAATCAGACTTGGCTTTGAACTTTCATCTGACTGTCATACGAAGACTTAGCAACTCAGACGAAACTTAAAGCACGGTCTTAAATTTCAGACGATTTTTTAAATTACCACAACTGTTGAAAGCATATTGCTACTAGCATATTTAAGCAAGAAACTTTGTCGCGCGCAATTTTGACTTTGAATGTTTACGTTTCCGTCTTTCCTGCAAGACCCTAGTTCTCACGTGGGGTGGGGTGCTTGACAGTGTCAATCATGGACTCAGGGTGATGTGGGGTGACGTATTGCGGAGCCGAGGGTGAAGGGGAGGTGGGCGATGAGACTCAAGTAACGTGTCACGTGCGGGCAGCCCTCTCTTTTGGCCCTGCCATTTTAGGGTTTGCCCCCGCCCCCAAGTGGTATGGGGAGGAATGTCTCTGGTGTGGGGAACTTAGCCGAAATTTTTGGGGTGCGAGGGGTGTGGGGAGGAATGTCTCTGGTGTGGGGGACTTCGCCGAAATCTCTGGGGTGTGAGGGGTGTGTGGAGCCGGTACACATGTATGTCTCTGTGTAAGAGAAACTTGATTCAGTTGTCTAAAAATAAGAGAAACTGGTACACATAGTCTGAGAAATTCAGAGAAATATTAAACGCTTGTCTAGGGCAATCAGATTTTTTTCAAACCGTTGTAAAAAAAATCAGAGAAACCCGTAAAAACCAGTCTGAAAATCAGACAATCAGACAAAAAAGGTCTGCTATTTAGGACCCTAAAAGGGATACAAGGTTTATATTATAATACAAGAGGATATGAAGAGTCTAAAAGTTTGTGCACTTCGAGGGGTACATTCCATTTTACGATTCGATAAGGCGACTCGGGTAACCACCCGTACTGTAATATCGGGACGGTTATTTGTCCTTGCTGTCGCGCTGACTCTTGACTCTTGCGATTTTGACTGCCGTGTTGCATGGTCAATGGTCGGCGACCGTTGCCCTTTCGTAACCTCTGTGAGGTGTCGTCAATCTGTGTGAATCATCGGGGGTACTGTAGAAGTGTTGACTCGGTAATCCTCGCTGTTGTAGACTTCGCATATTTCGTACACTCACGCGAGACTTCGGAAATGCCTAAGTCATTTCCAACATATGTTAACACACCCCTAGGCTAGACAAGGGGCAGTGCCTGGCAAGAGACATGTAGCTCAGGGTGGCACTACTACCGGTAAACCAACCTCTGAGGCAAGGGTCCGATGACCAGTGAGTAGAGTACAAACTAGACAAGAGCAAACCAGGACGACACTACTAGTCCGGCCACTGGAACAGAAGCCACAAGGCCAGTCAGGAGAATATATAAAAGTGTAGTACACAATCAAGGCCCTAGCAAGTGAGGAGCTACAGGAACCAGACCAAGCTGTACACAGTGCCGCTGATGATCTTTAGGCGCAAACGCCTTCGTAAAGATATCAGCTCTGTTGGCACCGGAGGCCAAGTGTACAACGCGGGCCTTGCGGCGCTGCTGTAGCTCGGCCAAAGTTCATAAAAGGGTATCGTCGTGACCCTTTCTATCTCAATCTTGATGGAAATCGTGCAAATCTGAAGAAAATTAATTAGAGATTAAGTCGGACAAATTGAATTGAACATTGCGTGCAGCTCAAGGAACTTCTTGAAATAACCTTATGCGCATTGGAAAGGTCTTAATCTCTACTTTCTAGAATGGTAAAACACGTTCATAACCAAGATCTGAGCCGCCGATTATGACAAAATCAGTGCGAGGGGATATTCTGGTGATTTAGCTAGGCAGCCATGAATCACCTAGTAAAACGAGAGGGCAAGCAGTTGGATCTGGAAAAGTTCGAGTATGTGATTGTCAAACACCACCAACCCTCGCCCTGGACCAAAACCTAAAACTCTCAAGTGCCACAATTGCAACATCAAAGATGTTGGAGTGGGTTTGGGGTTGTATGGTTTGGAAAGGTAACGAGATCAAACCTAGTCAACCAACCCAAGTTCTTTTGCCCAAATCCCAATTTCCCACAACCAGCTAGAGCAAACTAACCAAAGAACACTACACATTTATCACTCCCCCTTGCTCGTGCTGGGTGTGGCTCAACACCATAGGGCAAAAGTCTGGGGCCACCCAGAGCAAGGAATCAGCCAAGGAGAGGAGCACCAAGACGCCGGCATCTGCTTCGGGAACCATGGCATCATGAGGCTGCATCCTGAGCAAGGTCATGCACACACCATGGCGCTCAAATGGAAGAGACATGGTGAGAATGTCAGCAGCCCGACGGTTGGTGGGGCACCACTGCAAAATCACCTTTCCTGCAGCCACCATCTCCCGAATGAAATGCCACCGGACCTGCATGTGTTTGGTGCGGCCATGCAAGCATGCATTCTATGCAAGGGCAATGGCAGACTGATTGTCCACAAACACAGGCACACCACCAGCATGATCATGGCCAAACTCCCCAAACAAACGCCTCAGCCACACACCCTCCTGAATGCACTGACATAGACTTATGTACTCACTCTCAGTGGCAGAGAGTGTGACCACGGGCTGCCTCTTGCTCTGCCAAGAGATAGCTGCCCCATTCAGATAGAACACATACCCACTGTGGCTCCTGCGACTTGCGGAATCTCTAGCATAGTCAGCATCACTTAAGCCAACTAGCTGGACCTGAGACCGGGGCTGTGTTTGGAAGAAGATACCTGACTTGACACCACCTTTCAGGTACCTCAGCACTCTCTTAGCAGCCCGCAAGTGGAACATTTTAGGACAAGAGGCGACCTTAGATAGCTGTGAGACTGCAAAGGCAATCTATGGCTGTGTGGTAGTACAAGCATACATGAGGGATCCCACAATGCTTTGGTAGAGCTTGACAAGCTCATCTCGCAGCAAGGGTTCATCCTCATAGGCATGCACATCAAAGCCTGTCAGGAGAGGAGTACGCATGGGATTGGCCTCTGAGAGACCAAAGGACTGAAGCATGTTAAGAATGTACCTCTCTTGATGAATCAAGATACCACTCTCATCATGCTCAATTTGCATTCCCAAGTAGTACTTCACCTCCCCCAAGTCCTTCATGCGAAAACGCGAGGATTAGAAGTCTTCCACTACTCTACCAAAGCCTTGCTAGAGCATAGGAACAAAAGGTCATCCACATAGAGAAATAAGGAGATCCTCTCCTCATCTCTCACAAAGTGGTACAAGGCAGGGTCACACTCAGATCTCTCAAACCCGAAATTCATGAGAGCCTCATCAAATTTCAGGTACCACTGTCGTGGGGCTTACTTTAGCCCATAAATGGATTTTTTTAGGTGGCACACTCGATTAGACCCATCATCAAAACCAGGGGGCTGCCGCATGTAAAGCTCTTACTCCAAATCCCCATGGAGAAAGGCTGTATTGACGTCCATATGATTGATATCAAGCCTCAAAGCAGCTGAAATTCCAAGCATACATCTCAAGGTCGCATGCTTCCCAATTGGAGAGTACACTTCTTCATAGTGTACTCCCAATTTCTGAGTGTTTCCCATCACAACCAATCTGGAATTAGGCCTCTCAATGGTACCATCAGGGTTATGTTTGTATTTCCAAACCCATTGACACCTGAGGACCTCCAAACCAGGTGGTACCACTGCTGGATCAACCAGCTCAAATTATCCATTTACCTTGTGAGACTCAAGCTCCTCATGCATGGACTCAACCCATTCGGGATGGTTCAGCGCCTCGTGGACTGACCTAGGCTCAAGCACCTGACCCATTAGACACACATCAAGAGCATACTCATGCCCATGCATGTCCACAAGCATGCAATCATCCAAGTCAGACACAAAATGATAATGCATGCGTGCAATGTGACCGGGTGAAAACCTGTCAGGTGGCTGGGAGATTCGAGCACTACGTCGCAGAGGTGTTGCCTCCCCTTCTTCCAGCCTCCGCAGCTTCTCCTCCCAAATCACCCTCTTCATTGGAGTCCTTGGAGTCTTGGACAGCTGCTGGTTCAACAACTGCTGCCAACTGCTTCTCGATGGAGTTGAAGGCACATGCTGCTCCGGCTGATCTTCACGCGCATTGGACTGCTTGGCACGCTGAGGGGTAGAACCTGTCTCTCGGGACTCCTCATGGTTAGGATCAGCTAGTTCTGGCTCCTCCTGCTGCTCCTCCCCTTCATCTCGAGGGTCCTCCCATGCCTCGTCAAAGATAGAGGCCGTATGAGGGTCTTGAATGGAAGTCCCACTTTGGCTTGCACCACGCTCCTTCCACCCCTTAAAATCCAGCCCCTCATGGAAAACCACATCACGGCTCTCCATCACACGCTGGTCAGCTACACTCCACAGCACCCAAGCCTTGCTCCTCTCAGAAACCCCAAGGAAGATCCCCCACTGTGCCTTAGGGTCTAGCTTTCTCCTTTGCTGGTCAGGTACCTTATACTGTGCCATGCACCCCCACACTCGTGCCATGGAAACATTCGGCGCCTTCCCTGTCCATAAGGAGTTAGGGCTCTTGCCTCCAAGCCCCTTGCTGCCCATCGTGTTCTTCAC